TAACTGATGCCTCCATATACAATCTTCAGAATGTTTTGTTTTCGTGACGGACCGTTTTGATATTTTCTCTGCGATGGGCTTGGCTGTCATCACACCAATGTGACTGAGTCAATGTTTGAACATGTCAACCTCCTGTCAGGCTTTTTCTCTATTTGCAATTAATTAGTTTGTATCTATGCCTGGTTGAGAGTGTAGTTATTGTTCATGTTTACAAAAATCATGTTTCAAAATTGAGGGACTGGAAGTTCTGTTGGATAACTTCAGTAGCTGAATCACATTCTCGGGTTCTTTTATTAAGCTCATACCATGTGAGAGTGCTAAAAGGTTTTTGTTATTGATTGTGAAAAGGATTTTTCAAAGGGAGGTAGTTCATTCGCATTTGAGAGGAAGTGAGAATTCATTTCAAATTATTTTTGTGTTCTGTTTAGCCGAGTTGGTGATAAAAGCTGTTGGCCTTCAAGTGAGCATGTTAGTCTTGTTACTATGGTGATTAAGGATCACATTTGGATGGCTTCTTCTTTTCTGTTAAAATGTGCCAATAGTTTAGGTGAAGTCTAAGGATAATATGAATTCTCGCTAACTCCATGCTTTGATTGATTTGTTTCTGCATTGATCAACATTTCATGACTAGAATTTTGGCATTCTTTCTATGGATTGTGTTTCCCTGTTAACTTAGAAGTTTGTCAGAAAACGAATTGAATCAGAAATAGGATCCCTTATTTAATTCATCTTGAATCCTTAGAATAATCGAGGCGTGCCATTTAGTAAATTTCACGGCCCTCGCAAAGTGCAAACGCATAGTTGCTTTAGGCGCGTATTTTAATAATCTATTTTCCTAAACTCGGGTGCACATTTATATGACCCAAATCCAAATCTCAACGATGTTGAAACATGTCAAAAACCACGGGTGCATTGTGACGTGGTTCGAGACATGTTTTAATAACGTTGCAATTTTCTCTAAAAAATAAATAAAAGCGGTTAAAGTTAAAATTTGCACATAGGTTCATAATTGTTTAAAATCAGATAATTAAGCCGAATATGACAGTTGAGCGACCGTGCTAGAACCACGGAACCCGGGAATGCCTAACACCTTCTCCGAGTTAACAGAATTCCTTACTCGGATTTCTGGTTCGCGGATTGTTAAACAGAGTCATTCTTTTCCTCGATTTGGGATTCTAAACCGGTGACTTGGGACACCATAAATCTCCCAAGTGGCGACTCTGAATCTCTTAATAACAAATTCCGTTTTGATTGTCCTTTAATTGGAAAAATTCCTTTATTATACCCTCCCGAGGGTGTAGTGAAAAAAGGAGGTGTGACACCGCGGAAGAACCACCGCTGAAGCGACCACAATTACACGGTCCGTGGAATTGAGGTTTAGAGAAGGTGTTTTGGGTGCAATAGAGACCGCTGGGCGGGATACCTGACGCGGCCGCGGTGGTAATTCCGCTAAGAGCAGTGAACAAGGTTCAGAGACCCTACAAAGTGAGTCTAACTAAGGAGCGCGGTCCGCGTCCAAATTGCGCGACCGTGGTTGAGGATAACGCTGAGGCGGTAAATTTTACGTTGTCCGCAAAATCAAGTCCAAACCAAGCACAAAAGTGAAGAAACGCGGTCCGCGCTTGTTTTGCGCGGACGCGGAAGTCCATACGCTGAGGCGCTCATTATTTCACTGATAGCGGAACCTCCGTAGGGGTATTTTTATCCAAAAATTTTAGTTGTATATAAATAGATCTTTTTCACATTTTTTTAGGTTATCTTTTGTCTGAGGAGCTCGTGAACAGCCGTATTTTACTACTTAGAGTAATTTTAGAGCAGCTCTAGCTATTAATCTTAGATTTTATTCTTGTAATTAACTTTTATGGCTTATATTTCATCTTCATCTTTGATTTCTACCTTGATTATGAGTAGCTAGACCCATTAGCTAGGGTTGTGACCCAACCCTAGTGTGAGTATTTAATGGGTCTTCTATTTTACGGCTTAATTGTTTATGGGTTAATGATATTTAGCTTGATTCATGCTTTAATTGTTGAATTGGTGGTTGCAAACACTGATTCGTGCCTTTTTTACTTAGACTCTTCTTGAGAAAGAGAGACTAAGTCTAGGAAAGTCAGGCTAACATGGAATTGGGGTGCATTCAAGAGATTCATAGCCCTAATTAAAGGGTTAAACCTAGAGATAGTAATACCCGACTTGAGCCAATTTTGCTTGCATTGTTTGTACACCCAATTGGGCTTGAGAAAGCCAATTAGGCAAAGTCACTCAAACTACCGACAGGTATAGAGTGAGTAACTACGCGTAAAGGTTATATCATGATCTCAAATATAAAAGTTTGTCCTAAATTCTAGACCCCTTTAGATACTCGCCTAGGTGTAAGTCACTTCCCTAGTGCTTTTTATCAATTGAGAAAAATCCTACAAAAACATTATATTTAGATTATTTTCAGCAATCAGTAGCATTAAAAGTAGAATAGAAACAAAACCAAGCATGGTTAGAAGTGCAATTAAGAACAACACGCATAGCTAGATTGGATAGAAATCCAACTCCCAAACAATATTAGCTCCTTGTGGATATCGATCCCAACCTTTCGGGTAAAAGCTTTATCGACCAGTCTTTGCCATTTTATAGTGGTATAGGGTTGGAGCCGATCACAAACCCTAATATAGACTCCTAGGATTTCAAGAGTCGTCTTAGTATCTTGAATTTAGGATTTAACTTGATCCATTAAAATTTTGATGTCTACAAATGCCCTCTACTTCATGGTTTGTCGGGGTATAGGCTTGCCGATACTTGAAGTACTCGACCATCACAACAGATGATTTTAAAACTTGGAATGTTCAATTTGCAGGAGGAGAGATGAAGGGCAGAACTGGTCCCACTGTTCGTGCCAATTTGTTTGCAACGAATTTTCGACTTACGAAAAAATAACTACAATCACAATATGAATACGAAGAAACATAATTTTATTGATAAAAAAAGCGGGTACAACTCTATTTGTTCCCTTGATTCTTCCTCTAAATTGTTCTTCGTGATTCGAGGGTTAGATCAACATATTCTCGAACATATGATGATGCAGACCTCTGTGGATGTATTTGATCTCCATGAAAGTCGAGCACTGTGTGGATCTTCTTCTTGAAGTATTTGATTATCAAGAAGAACATCTATTGATCACGACATTATTTTATGTCTTGATCCCTTTGTGAGTATCCCGAGAATTTATAGAATTTTCTGAGATGACCTCAATTTTCGAGATCCCCTTTTAAGGGAATATGTAACCCTTTTTATAGGAGTGACCTAGGGTTAGGATAGAGTAGCCTCCTACTTAGGATTTTGGTAGAGTAGCCTCCAAGCAAACCCTAATATAGACTCCTATGATTTCAAGAGTCGTCTTATAGTATCTTGAATTTAGGATTTAGCTTGATCCATTAAATTTCGATGTCTAAAAATGCCCCCTATTTCATGTTTTGTCGGGGTATAGGCTTGCCGAAACTTGAAGACAATACTTGAAGTACTCGACCATCACAACAGATGATTTTGAAACTTGGAATGTTCAATTTGTCGGAGGAAGAGATGAAGGGCAGAACTGGTCCCATTGGGCGTGTCAATTTGTTTGCAACGAATTTTCGACTTACGAAAAATAACTACAATCACAATATGAATACGAAGAAACATAATTTTATTGATAAACAAAGCGGGTACAATTTTGTTTGTTCCCTTGATTCTTCCTCTAAATTGTTCTTCGTGATTCGAGGGTTAGATCAACATATTCTCGAACATAGGATGTTGCGGACCTCTGTGGATGTATTTGATCTCCATGAAAGTCGAGCACTGTGTGGATCTTCTTCTTGAAGTATTTGATTATCAAGAAGAACATCTATTGATCATGACATTATTTTATGTCTTGATCCCTTTGTGAGTCTGAGAATTTATGGGATTTTCTGGGATGACCTGAATTTTTGAGATCCCTTTTTTAGGAAATATGTAACCCATTTATTGGAGTGACCTAGGGTTAGGATATAGTAACCTCTTACTTAGGATTTTGGTAGAGTAGCCTCCAAGCAAACCCTAATATAGACTCCTAGAATTTCAAGAGTCGTCTTATAGTATCTTGAATTTAGAATTTAGGTTGATCTATTAAATTTCGATGTCTGCACACATGTTTCTGCTGGCAACCAATTGCATTGTCAACGAATGAGTTTGGATTCGCCTTAAAATTCTACTCGAAGTTAAATAAGATACCGCATTTGGATGTGTCAAAAAATTACATTGACAAGTGAGTGCCCTATTTTCCAATTATTGTTAATTGTTCAAAGCATTCTTATATTAAATTGGACATAGATAAGTTTATTTTTAAGTCCACGCGTATCTTGATTGAATAACAACCTTGACTAGTATACGCTGAGGTGATAAAGGCATTTTTCTTCCTTCAATTCCAATGGATTGCTAATACCAACTTATTAGACACAACATCTAATATTACTTGAATCGTGACAATTATATAATCATTGAATTGTCCTGAAAGTTTACGTGCGGCCAACTTTGAAATGTAATTAGCACGAGTGAAGAATATTTGTATACCAAACACGTGTAAAATGTAAGCATCCAAAACCAGCAAAAAAGGTCAAAAGTAGACACAATTTCGCACTCTAACGCGCTAATGTTTTTACTTTCTCCAAATAATCTTCACTTTCCTCTTACTTTCTCTCCCCTTTCCATTTCTTGCTCCCCAAACTAACATTTTTCTAATCGCTTTCCAAAGAATTATTTTCTCTCTCTCTCTCTCTCTTTTTTAATGCCACCAATATCGTCATCTCACTCCTCAACTACCCAATATATACCCCTCATTTAATCCAAAACCTTCCTAGCATTATTCAAACTCTCTCCTCCTCCTTCTATACAACTAAGAGTACTTATTTCAATTCTCTCCCCTTACTACTGTAGATCCCTGGAAAATCAAACTGAATTCAGTTGTTTTTGGCCATTTGGGTCTTCCTAGAAAAATGCTGCCCGATATATCAACTTTTCTAGAGGGCACAGAGAAACTAACCGAAGAGCTGAAAGTAAAAGAAGAATCATCTGAGGATGATTTGATTCAAGAAGATGAACCTAAATATGAAGAATTAGATGATGATGAAGAAGAAGAGGATATTGATGATCATCATAAGATTGAACTTGTTGATGCTAGTGATGAAGATTTTTCTTTTATATGTGGAGTACTCACATCACCGATAGCAGCAGAAGAAGCATTTGATAATGGTCAAATCAGACCCTTTTTTCCATTGTTCAACAAAGATCTTCTCTTGTCTGATATTGACTTTAACAATTTAAAAAATCGGCTACCTGTACATCCACCTGTCAACAAAGTTTTCGTCGAAACAGAAGATAATGATCCTCCGACAACGTCATCATCATCCAACGAGAATGAAGAAATCTCAGGACCGTACTGTGAATGGTCAAAAAAAGCGGTCGAAGCAAATACAAATCCAGCTGAGGGTTGTAAAAAGAGCAATTCCACTGGGTTTTCAAAACTTTGGAGATTCCGAGATTTCATTCGTCGGAGTAACAGTGACGGAAGAGACGCGTTTGTGTTCTTGAATAACCCTACAACAACGTCGAAGGTCGTTAAGAAAGAAGAAGAAGAAGAAAAGGTTTTGGAGAAGCTGAAAGAGACAAGTATTAGTGATGAGGTTAAAGTCAAGAAAGTAATTACGCAGAAAAAGAAGAAAGTTGTAAAGAAGAGTGAAGCAGTGTTAGCACATGAAGCTTATATGAAGAGTAAAGCAAGAGATGAAGAACGGCGACGATCGTATCTTCCTTACCGGCCGGAGCTCGTCGGGTTTTTCACTAATGTGAATGGTGGATTGACCAGGAATGTACACCCATTCTAAAGGCACAAAGAAAGGTGGTTGAATGAGTCAAAGTTAGTTTATTTTTTATTCGTTTTGACTGGTGGAAATATTTTAATTTTTTATTTTAATGATGTTGAGTTTGACTTACTTAGATCGTGACACAAAGCTTGCGGCTAAGTAATGGCTACGAGTTGAAAGTTGGTTTTTGTAAATACTCATTCGACTTTCTTGTTTTAATTCTATGAAAAGACCAGACTTCTTACGACTGCTTGGAAGTTGGAATTTCCCCTTCAACCTTGTATTTTGTAACTATAGGTTGAGACGACTATGACTTGCTAGTCATACATTTTCTTTTGATTTTTTCTTATTTTTGGGGATTTCACTTGTATACAGTTTTTATACTATTTGTATTTGAAGTTGTTTTACCATGCTACTTATCTTCTTTTCTTTTTTTTTGTAAGGTTACTGGTTTCATTATTGTGGACCGTAATATGTGATTATCTCTTAGATTGTCTGATACTGTAAAAGAATTTTTATATTGTAATAAAGTATAATCTTCTTTTTCTTATAAGCTAATTTTATGTTTCTACTTATACATTTTAACGAACATTATTGCCTTCATGTGAAAAAAATAAGAAGTTTAATTACATAACTTATATGTATATGCACAACAGAGCCACATAGTATTTAAATTTGGAACCAATAATGACATATGGTGGAGTAGCAAGTACTTATTCATCTTAAAAGTCTCGACTTGATCACTCCATAAAATCGCTCAAGGACGAGCGGAGGGTAGCACAGCCAAAACAAGGGCTTTACATCTGAATATCAAGATGTGTATTAAGATCAAGACATCTGAATCTGAATACACATCTGAATTTATTAAGATGTGTATTAAGATATGAATAGAAATAATTAAGACTGTTTGATTTTTAACATCTGAATGTATAAAATTTATCTTTATTTGCAAATTAATAAACATAAAATTCAAATGAAATACTAACTAATCCAATATTCTATCAATAAAATATATAGTTTTTAAAAAATGATAGTTGTTGGTGGTGATGGCTAACGGGTGAATGCCGACTAGAGGCGGTGGTTTGTGGTAGTTTTGGTTGATGATGGTGGTTCGTGCTAGTAGCTAGTAGTGATTGGTAGTGGTCGCAATTATGATTGAGGATGGTGGTGGTGGGTGGTGATAGTTAATAATGACGGATGGTGGTAGTAGCTGTGACTGAGGAAGGTGGTGGGTGGGTGGTGGTAGGTTATAATGATGGGCAGTTCCGGCTGTGGTTGTTGATGGTGATGGAGTAGTCAGTTGTGGTAGTTGAGGTGGATGAGTGTTGACTGTGGGTGAGAATGCTATATGGTGGTCAGAGTGGTGGGGATAGTGGGTGGTGATGGTCGATAATGCTGGCGGCTATGATTGAGGATTATGGTGGCGTGGTGGTGGAGGTGGTGGTGGTGGGGGTGGTGGTGGTGGCATGGTGGTAGTTGATAATGGTAGGCGGTGGCGGCAGTTAATAACGAATATGTCATAGCATCTTAATGAAATTAAGTCTCTGTTATAGATCTTAATCATACAGACTTATTCAGACCCATTAAGTGGTTGTGAAGTAAAAAAAACAAACACACTTAATGATTAAGATCTGAATAATTATTCAGACTTTAAAAACAAACGCACTTAATGTCTGAGATCTAAATGATTAAGATCCAGACCTCCATTAAATGCAAACAAATGAGGCCTAAGTCAGACACGTACGAAAATATTTCTTATTGAGAGTTCTTTAAAATATAATAGTAATTACTCTATATTTAGGCTTATTTTTTGAATCAAATAAAAAGACTTGATTAGTTTTTAAATCTCTATATTTCTTGTAGAATTATGTGCCCATATATTACATACTTGCATTTGCAGTTAAATTAAAATTGATAAAATCTTACATATGATCAATAGTGTCTCGCAAAAAGAAATAAATAGATTACTTATACTATCAATTGAAAATGAATTATAAGAACTCAATTATATAAAAATTATTACGTAATAACTTTGCATCTCAAAAAAGTTAAAAAAAAAATTATACTTCAAATAAAACTATATAGGAATATTTGTTTTTAAAAAAGAAAAACTTTGCCTCCCATCAAGATTTGGCTTCAATTACCTTAGGCCACCCTTAGGAATGCTTTTTACCCTCCCCTACCCCCCCCCCCCCCCCCCAAAACCAATGTGAATTTCTGTGCGAATCCCAATTTAGTCGGGCCTTAATGCGGATATCAAACGCGCAGGGAAAAAACAAAAGAAGAAAAGCTGTAAAAACAGCACGGGCTAGCCAGTTTTCGGACTGGTCATTAGAAAATAGCCAGCATTTGCAAAGTCATTGAAAAATAGCCAACATTTTGCTGCAACACGGAAAGTTCCAGCATAATATACTAGAGATCGGTGCACCTGTGTATGAACTTCCAGCAAATTATGCTGGACCGGTATATTATACTGGAACTCTAGTATATTATACTGGAGTATTTTTCCATATTTGAACAGTGTTTTTATTCAGATTTATCTTTACATGAAAGTGGCTAAATTTCGATTACTTTTGAAACTGTGGCTATTTTTAAATGACCACTTGTAAATCTGGCTATTTTGAAATATCTCCCAGAAAAGCTACATGGTATCTGGCATACTAGTCTTAGAGTACGCGCGATGCGCGTAAATCCTGTCTTACTGAATATAATTTTTGTTTTAAAATAGTATTGAGTTATAAAATAAAAGTGTAAGTTCCTAAAATGGTAATGACTATTGGTTGTATATAACTAACTCAGTAATTGAAGAAATTATCTCAGAAGTCCTCAATCATCAATAATTCAACTTAACATTTGTTCCAGGTTCGTAATTTCATAATTTTAGTTTCACGACAAGAACCTTGAAAATCTAAATAATCTTAAAGGATACAACTTACAATATATAAGAAGACAATTAATAATCTACGAACTATAAATAAACACAAAATCAAAGTACAATAATAAACAAAAATAAAAGATTTTAGCCTTAAAGATTTTGAAAGGAGTTATTGCTAAGAAAGAAAACTTGAATATTAGTAGCAAAATTTCCCTAATGTCATGAAAATTGGTACACGTTTCTAATGCCCTTTAATAGGGATATCATTAATAATAAGTTTTCTACTTATTCACTTGAGAGTTTTCTTTTTGAACCCACCGAAAATTTGACTTTTCTTATAATAGGGACATTAAATGTTTCCTACTTATTCTCCTTTAAGTTCTATTTTCCTTTTTTAACCTAAGAAAATCATATTTTGTGATGGATATTAATTGAAGAAGTTGTTTTTCACTTATTCACTTCTTCTTTCTCCTTTTTTTTGGCCATACGGTAGTTTCATTTTTTCTTCCCAAAAATATCTTATTGATATTTACAGTTTTATCCAGCTTAAAATACACTTACAAAGAGTGAAAAAGATGAACGACATTTTGCTAAGGGCATTCGTGCTTTTAATATAATATAGATAGATGATAATACTTTTATCATACTTAAATAATTAATAAAATTGCTTTGAGTTGCAAATTAAATATCTCTTTAAACTCTACGATCTCATTTAATTTGACCGCCAAAGCTAAATTAGGTCGACATACTCCACCATTAGATGCGGTACGAACGTTACATAAAGATACAGAATAAAAGAAAATATACCATTTCCTACTGGGCGCAAGAACATCGCATTTGATGCATTGGCTTGTCATGGATAACAGACCAAACAGAACTTTGGTAGATTAAGTCGCACTTTACAAAGACTGATACATGTGATGCTTTTATTGGTTTGAACAAACAAGGCGTGGATGTTTGTCTTTTCCTAGATTATTTCATTGAATTAGTTATCGTATTTGAGTGCCAAAACAAGAAGATAACAAATCGATTTCAACTAGTACTAAAATGACCTAGTTGATCATAGTCTTGATGCATTGAATCGATCAATTTTGGGTAGCCGTCACGAGATGATTCTTTGCAAAACATGTCGTCAATCTAACTGTCATTTGCTGAAGCATCCTCCAGATCTTAATCCAAAAATGTTGAACATGTCGAAGCACATGGGCTGCACACACTTTTCTTCAAATTATATACTTCTTCTCTTAGCATAAGAAAACAAAGGAATATAACCAAGAATTCTTAAATTTAATAAAAAAAAAAAAAAAAAATCGTCCCTGGAAACTAAAGTGGTTGCACTACTAGGACAATACATTTAATGAACTTAGGCATGGCATATGTAAATATTAATTGGGCAAGTATGCTTGAGCCAACCATCGACAGAAAGTGAACCACAGCGCCCCCAACATGACATTTACTCGGCAGGTGAAACTTTACAGTAAAATAGAGAGGTTGCAATGCAGGAGACACAGAAGATTACTTGTCTGCGGAAATCAGAAGCATCAAATGAATTCCTTAATCTTCTCGTATAGCAATTCAGGTTCTATACACTGATAATGAAAAGGTTTTATATATTGATAGTAAAAGATTACATTTATATAATGTGCTGAGTTTCCAGCACTTGCATTGATGGAAGAAATATTTAGGTTCTGGTGAATTAATCAAAGTCGCAAGCTGACTAGGACATTGAAAATATCGATATTTACACAGGTAATGTAATTTGACCGCCTCTAACGATCGAGTTATCTACTGATCTTAAGTGTGGAACTTGCAAGTGGCTATTAAGTAACTCGATTCTGTAAATATCATTCGCACAATCAGCATATAAAACTTGAATCTTTAATAAAATAAGGTCTAACAAAATTAAAGGGCAAAAGATTCCACCAGAAGAAGATTAGAAGAAACAAGTAGTTAAGCACAAAATGCAAAACTTGTGAAGCATTACTTGCTTTTGACATTTGATCTATATATCCCCAGAAGAAATGTGACAACAAAAATCATAGGATAAGGACAAGTTGCAATAGTAAAAAGAATAATGTATAGAACACCAGTAAAATATAGATGATAAGATAGAATAAGGTGAGAAGAGAAGAGGAGCTTGTAGTATATGCCCCTAAAAATAGGAGGAAGTTTCTTTTGGCAAATATTCTTCTGTTTGTTCTTATTCACAACCCACAGGGAGAGAGAAAAAGAAACATCACATTAATATGTCCTTTCAGTTAATATATTCACCTAAGGGTTGAGTGATCAACTTTCATTTGCGTCAAAAGATATAGCATCATACTAGTTCTTTCCTTTTTCTATCGGTACAACATCACTACTTTTTATCACTAAAGTTTTGACAGTACGCTTGTATTTTTAACCTGAAAACTACTCCCTTCGTCCCAATTTATGTGGCGGTGTTTGACTCTCACGAAGTTTAAGAAAGAAATGAAAACTTTTGAAATTTTTGATCTAAAACAAATCATATATATTTATGTGGCTATAAATCATTAAGGGTAAAATAGAAATTCTAAAGATAAATTGTTTCTAAATAAGGAAAGGTGACATTATTTTTGAGACTGACTAAAAAGGAAAGAGTACCACATAAATTGGGAGTGAACGAGTGATATTTTATTTACAACTTCTGCAGAAGTTTTGACGGTTTAGCTATTTCAACAAGATAAAGCCTGTTCATAAATACATGTCACTGCAACTTCATCCAGTCATCGTAAATCAAATATCTCTAATCGTAGACATGAATTAATATAGACACTGGAGCAATCCTCGTACAGAAGATTCCCATCAATTGGTTCTTTATGAAGATGAAATCCCTTCCCGGGGCAGTCCTTGAGGATTTTCATTCCGCCATCAGATAGCCGGAATATTCCATATGCCCTAACACATTGCACTTGAAGATAAGCTTAACAGTTGGATACATAATAACTATGTCACAGATCAGCAACTTGTGGCTATCTATGTGTTTCAAATTATTGATAATCGTTTCTAATAATTACATGGCATATCAGTACCTTTCACAAGGACTATTACATTTCAACTCCCTACAAAAAGTGGCTTAATGGTGCAAACAGTCGAAAAATGCAGCAAATGTCCCTTTTTTTTCTCTCTTTTCCCTAGAGTAATGAATTCCCATAATTTATCAAAGAATTATGACCTTCAAGTATAAATTCCTATGTAAGTATTTTGCAATTAATAAATGGTCCAATAGGAAATGAGGTTCATCTAATAGGCAGTACTAATAGATCCTAAGTGCTTTCGTAAAACCTTTAAGGGGTCGTTTGGTAGGGCGTATAAGAATAGTACTGAATACAGTATTAGTAATGCTGGGATTAGTTACAGTAAAATTAGTTATGCTGGGATATTTCTTACCTTCTGCTTGGTTTGGTGTATTAAAAGTAGCATGCATTGCATAATTTGTTTTAAAAATTGTTTGTTTACAAAAAATACTCACTGACGGTTTGGAAAAGGATTTGGAAAAGATTTTGAAAGGGTAGTTATGTCTTTATACATTGATCCATGTATTAAAAATCATGGTATTGCTAATGTCATAATTTGCTATATATAAGAATGGTACTGAATAGGGTGTATAACTAATATAGAAATTAGTTATACATAAGTTGAAAAACACTACCAAACAAGGGATTAATAATACCAAAGCTAATACACGTATTATTTTTCCTAATACATCCTGCCAAACGACTCCTAGAGATCTAATACGAGTTACTCATTTAGCTATACAGATGACAGAGGAATTCTCATGAATAACATAGTTTTCTACCAATATGCATATGACTTAAAGCACCTATACCAGCCATGTACCAAAAATTTGAAGGCAAAGAAGCATCTCAAACATGACAAGTACTCTTTATACTAAATATGCAAATATAAAATGAGGAAAGAGAATATAGAAATGACCTTGATTTATCAGTAGGAGCCATGACAATTCCAATAGCCTCTGGTACCATGACCTAAATCGATCAGAAAGTGAGAAAATACAGAAAAAAAAACGTGCAGATAAATGAAGAATCAGAACGACGTGTATTGAAGCACAATAACTTCAGATAAGTTTAATGGAATACATAGGGAAGTAATTAAGTGAATGCAATATGTTAAACATGGTTTGATAAGAAAATAATGCTTTAGCCGATACCATTTGCGTAATAATTGGATGGTCTAACACAAGAAATGGCCTTCTGATAAGTTCAATTCCAAATGGATATAGGTATAAATAAATTTGAAGTTAATTACTGTACTTACAAATTGAAGTTCGTACAAGTTTAACTATTAAGTTAACATATAAACAGCAAAAAATGGAAAAGAGAATGAAGCATTAGCGTGCCTATATCATTTAAATTTTCTATTCTAAATTATGCTCCCTCGATTTCAATTATGTGGCTTGATTCGGAGTACGAGGGTTGAAGTTCTTAATTTTCACCATGAAATTAGACAGATTTTTCAAGTCTTTAATAAAATTTACATATTTGGAAACTACATACAATGTACTATAAGTCATAATATTAATATTTCGAAATACTTATAAAATATCAAGAAATCCATGGTCAAGATGAACCTCGTAGACTCCCTAAATAGTAATGTAGACACATAAACTGAAACAGAGGGAGTAGTTCATAATAGGGATTAATGACACCCTAACTTGCATTTATTCAATAGTAGTCTTTCACAAGTAACAAAGTGCACAACCAAAAGCTCATTTGATAAGCAAAGTTTCTTGATCTCTCAGTTTAAAAGAAGTGCAGCACAAACATGTGAAATCCAGAAGATTCAGATTTCAATTTCTATGGTCCTGTACTAACCAAAAACCAAAGTTACTATTCCTCCTAAATCCCGGTTTGCAAACAGTTTTGGTTTCCCTACCTTTTTCTTCAGTCTTTCCAATAATGGTGGAAGAATGCTGATTTCAGTTTCAGAAAAATTCAGTTTTAATTAGAAATGAGTGCATGTAAGCTAGAAAAAGGAGTGTTTCCTTAGTCTAAATCACCTATATATATATACAACAACATATCCAGTATTATTCCACATCGTAGGGTCTGGGGAGGGTAGTGTGTACGCAGACCTTACCCCTACCTTTGTGAAGGTAGAGAGGTTGTTTCCAATAGACCCTCGGCTCACGAAAGTGTGTGTGTGTATATATATATATATATATATGTATATATAAGGAGGGGATGGAAAAGGTGACTTGGAAGCTCTCCTAGGCCAAGGATCCTATTTATTTTTTATCTCCTTTTTTTTAATATATTTACTTCATTCTCTTGATCCAACTGAATTTTTAAAAGCTTAAAAGTCACTCCATAAATCTCTTTATTACACCTCATCCCAAAAGTCACTTGAAATTTATCTTTTTCCTCATTTTTTCTTGCACTTTTACTCATTCTTTTCATTTAATTATTTTTGACAAATTCTGAATTTCATTACTAACAGAGGAACCGTTACTAGAGAGTCCAAAAGTCACTATTAAAAGCCACAACCGTTACACAAGAGTCCCAAAATATATTGCCAGGTTTTACGTTTTACTTCTTCATCCTCCAATTTCTTCACTCATTTGTTATCTCTTCCTCTTTCAATATGAGCTCTTATGCTTACCAAGGTACTTCCACTTGACCAGCCTCCATTGGTTGTAATGTGTTGTTGGTATCATTGACAAACATAGACTTTCACAGCAGTTCTATCATGACTCTCAAAGGCTCCATGTCGTTTCCAATTCCTGCGGATCTCCCCAACTTCTGCACCCGACATGAAAGTTTGTCTTTTGGATTTGAAATTGTTAGGGGGGAAATGACAGTTTGTAGCTGTAAGAAGTTTGAAAATGTTGCGGTATTCAATCTTATAGATAATAGAAGAAAATATTTGGAATTATTTGTTTAGTGAAAGACAAAGAGTGTCTGCATACTAGACCGAATATTTTGATTTAATTGTTTGTTGTGTTCATCTTACTGAGATAGATCATTGATATTGGGGCATCCATTCTATGAATATTAGAGGAAAACTTGCAGTTATTTGCTAGCTGAGGAAAACTGAACATGCAGAGTGTCACTGATTGGTCATTGGTGATATTAAACAAAGATTTTTTTTTTGTGCAAATAATAAGACCTTCTATAACTTTTATTGCGCTTCAGATGACGAAGATTTACATGCGAGACATATAATTCATCATCCCTTTTTATTTGAGCTTGTGTTTGGATTACTGACAAAGTTAGATGCATAGATTTGAAGGAAATTTGTTAAACTTTTTTCCGAAAGATAGAACCTTTTTATTGGTAAACATGTATATATGTGAAACTCAGATTTGTATGATTGCCTAACCAGATTTTCGTTTGTCTAAGATAATGATCACTTTGAATGTTAGTTATTAACTAGAAGTAGTTAAATCTTACATATCCAATTTTTCGTGTAATGATCCTATAAAAATTATTCATTTGGCACCTCTAGCTTTTGAGCTTGTAGTTTCCCAAACAAATTTCCCGTACTAGATGTTGTTTCTTCTATTATATTCACAAATTCTTATAATTCATCCTCCTCCAGAACAAACGTTGTTACTTTGTTTATTATTGTTAGAAATTGGTGATATGGAGAATGTTAGAGCTAACGGAGGAAGAGAGACATCCAAGTTGGAAATACATTAGTAAGCCACTTTTCACATTTGATGTGCTTTTAGCTTGTTGTCTTTTGGTAACCAACTTGACAAGGATACACTTTGTTGTATGATTACTTGAGTTATTATATTTCTATTAAAGCAGAAGAGTTGATTACTATTTGATTAGAATACTGGTTTTTGGTGCTTTCTAAACTATATTGGAGATGCCTCAAAAACTTTCTTTTAGCGTACATGCAAGTTCATATATACGTCTATTCGATCACCCATCAAATCGCGATGTCCTTTAATACATGCTGAAATATACTTATCTTCATGGAATACATAACTTCCAAAGAACAAAACTTAGTATATATTTTTGTTTTTGTGACCTTCATGTTGTTTAATTTTACTCATATAGTTAATTTTGCATGACAAAGCTATCATGGAGGATAAAGCGAACCACAAAATAGATGAATTCTCATGGAGTTCTCTTCAGGAAGCTAGGGACATTTTGTGCTTTTTAGCATGTTAGTTCTACATTGTGCGTTTATATTGTAAAATTTCATTTCTTTGGTAGAAACAACTATTTTTTACTAAATGTGGGGATTAATTCCTATACCTTTATTTTACTTATCTATGTCAATTTTTTTTTGTATTTTTCATTTTTCTTCCATTAAATATATGATTTTAGTATTTAATTTGTAAAAGACTTTTTCATGACCGCGAAAAGCGCGGGCAAGTACACTAGTTATTTATAATATACTACTAGGTATTCCATCATATCTTGTAGCACAAGTTATACCTGTAACTCCATTCTACCAATCGCAATATTGCATAAAGAGACAGAAATATTCTGTCCCATTAAGTTTTCAACATTCTAGTTATCTCCAATAATGAAATGCACAAAGGTACAAAGCCATCAGGAGTAAACGTACCTGATATGAATATTGAGTATGCAAATCGATAGATGACATGAAACAGCTCTGAGATGGATGCGTCTGGAGAAAAAAATAAACGGTCACACGTTAAGTTATGCCGAGTTACATGCCCCTAAGTATTTAATTGCTGAAACATGTGAACTAAACAGAGGAAAGTACAAAGAAGGAAGCCAACGGCAAAAAAAAGTTGATTTTCAATTATATATTTAAGTGATTATCTAAGGATAACGGAAATATGAATATTAAACTTGACAATCAATTAGATCTAGCCAGTTCATATTTAAGGTGTCCCTGTAGACTATTAAAAGTGAAGCTGCTAACAGAGAAAATCATCCTTGTCAAACATATCACGGTGGCTACCTTAACTGGTGGTGCAGAATTGAAGGAAACAATAGCTTTAGCACATGCTCCGGAGATGCTACAATATCGGAGCTCAGGATTTTCTTACATATTTAATTATCTCGATGTTATTCAAGTCACAGAACGTAAAGTTCCATATGAGACTGATTAACGGATCTCCAAATGCATTAAATCACTTAAAGTTCAGCTCTCTTTCAATCATTTCTGCCTTGATTTCAGAATAATAAGCATCACAATAGGTCTTCTATTGAGAAATTCCATCCAAATAAACAGGAAACACATAAAAGGAAATTGAAAAAGAGAAGAAAACTTACATGAATCCATCCAATTGGAAAGAAGGATTGTTCATGTAGTATGGCAAACATCTCCTCCTCTTGTAGGGCCTGACACTAGCAGTAACTACAAATAAGTTAGAATCCTTTCTCCTTACCGAATTGGACATGGATCTTCAGATTTTGAATTACTTACAGAATTGGAGGTTGATTCTTGTTTTGGTATTATTAGAGAGGTAATGTAAAAGGTTCCATCTTTCTGCATGCATTAAGGGTGAAAATAGCCAGAAGTCAGTGCATTGAGAATTCAGTTTCAATCTGCTGTAACATTCTCTATAACAAAAGGGGAAGAAAAGTCTACCGGAAGGTGCCAGTAAACAGGTACATAGTTTACTATCAAAACGAAAAGACAAAGGAAGAAAACTTTGAAGGAAGGTGCCATTAAACAGATGCATAGTTGATGCCCCAAAATAAAAAATAAAAAATTGCAGGCAAATGAACATGGTCCTAGAAGGCATCTCAAAGAGATTCTAATAGAAAATTAGGATAAAAAATACAGCCACCGTATGATCTTAGTTTCTACTCCACGAGAAGTTATCACTACAAAAATTGAGGGTGTTTTAGAGATAGAACAATAACTAGTAACACCATTTCATGCCAAGTAGAGCAGGTTATGTGGCAACACTCGGATAATCCATCGTAGATTGCCACAAGACAGTAGCTTGATGAAAGGCATGCTTGGTTGGCAGACAGGAATACGGAACTCAATCTCAATGATCTAATGAGTAAATTGTAGCTTCCTCACCACTACCAATTTACTGATTAGACCATTAAAGTACTATGGTTGGCTTGGAGAATGGTCTTACATCAAAGTACTATGGTTGGCTTGGAGAATGGTCTAATGAGTAAATTGTAGCTTCATCACTGCACAACATATACTTTAGATGTATTCCGGTCAATCACAAATATCTTTTTTTCCCTTTAAGGTGAGGCAACTCAAATGCTTTAGGCAATTTAGCTAGTCTACCAGAACTTCCTTTCCTCTTTTGAATTATATGATGATTACTCTCAGAAAACTTTCCTCGGGGTGCGTTATCTCCTACATAATCTCGATTGTCACTTCCTTTAACTTGTATGGATTAGTATTAGCAATTACAATTACATACTCAACAATCCAACATCGTAAGTACTTGAATACTTCGGAAAAGCAGATGATTTGGAGAAAGTGCATTGGTGATCTGAATATCTAGGAATTGATCAGGTAAGTACTTTTGAAGACCTTAACTTCAAAGTTTGAATATTAGTGAAGGAACTAAAGAAGATAAAAGCATTACTTATAATGAAAAAATATTGTGGTGTATTTATATATGTTAAGAGTCAGAAACCAGTTTCTTGCTATGAAGTTAGTTCGCCAATAGATGTACTTTTAGTTTCAAAAGAAGAGTTAAAAGATGTGTTGTCCCTATAATTTACCAGAATTAGAACACAACACAGTTTTATTGAGCACTATAATGAGCTCATCTGGCTTGGACCCGTAATGGAAGGATGAGATAATCAAGCAAAGATGGAGAAATTCCAGTAATCTTCAGCTCAAGCATCACTACTACTTCGAATGGAGCAAATTTCCATGACAAATGCATGACCATATTTGACACCAAATGCTCTAGAACGCATTAAAATCTACAGGTTTGACACTTTAAAATACATTGCTTACAATTTGCATAACCAGTCGTACAAATGAAAAATGTACGCACAAAATTTTAGAAGATCTGACATCACCATAGGAGCTTCATTGTTCAACAATGTTCTAAAAGTATCATTCTAGAAAGCAAAGTGAATACTAGTGATCTTACAAGGATGGCACCAAGAACTCCACAGGTCTCTATATCCTTCTTAGTGTTGTTGCTGGCAATTTCCAGAAAATTCTCCATCAACCTTGTTGGCTAAGGAAAAAAAAGTGTTACCTTGTCAAGGATTTATTATTGTGCATGAGCTTGTATGCCCTGCACGGCACCCTGGATTTTCGTAACACGGGAAGGAAAATAGTGAAACGAAGTATTTAGGCTACTGCTGGACAAAGTTACTCAGTTGTATTTCAAAAGGCATAATTATTGACTACTTACTACATGTACATCTTTGAGAGGTCCAGATGCTGCCAGCACATTGCGTGAATAATTAGAAGGACCGCTTGATGAATCAGTAGTTGAGACACTTGAGATTTCAGCTCCATGAGGCAAAGTGTGTATCAAGGAGATTCCCGGAGAAGGAGCAGTCTGTGAAACTGTATGCACATTAGTCTGGCAACATAATCCACCAGCCATGAACTTCGAGGAATTCAAGCCAGAAGTCACACGTGCTCAGATTTGCTGACAATTGTAAAAGTTACCTATTAACATTAAATAACAGAAGTAAGCTTATGCTACTATGTATAAACTATTAGCAGATCAATATATAAAGCAAGCCATAGAAAAAGTGTAATCCAGATAAGGTTTCCACAACATTGAGGAATGTACTTTTCACTCTGTTTTTCAAGCAGGTCTCCATCAGTCACCAGAGTAAATATAACAACAACAACAACAACAACAACAACTACCCAGTATAGTCCCACAAGGTGGGGTCTGGGGAGGGTAATACGTACACAGGCCTTACCCCTACCCGAAAGGGCAGAGAGGCTGTTTCCAATCGACCCTCGGCTCAGGAAAAGGAAAAGGAAAACAAAAACAAAAAACAAAAAGCAAAAGAGCATTAGTAACTCCAGCAGAAATCACATAAATAATTATCTAAACATAAACCATAAATAAAATAGCATGCAAATATATCGACCAGTAACTACCATAAGGGGGCACAATACAATACATAAATCCTCTATGGAGAGCCCTACCAACCCCCCCCCCCCCCCCCCC